AATCCTATGTCTTAGTGTAGTCTAATTGTGTGCTAGCAATAAACAAGATGTGTTTCATTGAAACAAAAACTGATGTAAGGAACTTGTGTGCAAGTTATATTTATGGCGAGGGTAACCATGGCAACACCTTGAAATCAAAAAAGCAATTCAGATCTTGTGTGCCAAGGAAATCAAAACTGTTGAAAACACATGGAAGGTCTTTTCGCATGAAATACACCTGTGAAATATTAAAGCCTTATTACTAACGTTTCAAAAGTTATAGTGAAGATGCACTATTCTATGTATCTTAGTGTAGTCTACTTGTGTAACGGTTTTTAAACCGCATTTAGACAAATCCATGAGAAAATGAATAAAAACTTGTGGTTTTAAAGAGGTTTTGTCTAAAATATTTTTTAACAAACTTTTTTGTAAACTTAATGCACATTTAGGGTTGATATAGTCAATTCTACATGTACCGTGAACGAACACGTCTTGAAAGCTTACATTAGCTGGGATTAAAAATCCGTCACTTCGAGCTAGCAATAAACAAATGTGGTGAAAACACATGGCAATAGGTCAAAAGCTTTTCAAAACACAAGAAATACACCTGTGAAATATTAAACTTAAGCCTTCTTACTAACGGTTCAAAAGTTATAGTTAAGATTAACGGTTTTTAAAGGGGGTCAAACTCTAAGGTCAAGGTAAAAATTGTTATAAAATGTCTTGTCACAAGGAATACACCAGTAAAATATGAAAGTCCTAGTACCAACTGTTCAAAAGTTATGATCTATGTTAAATTACCTGTTAAAGTCTTTTTAAAAGTGGGCTAAGGTCAAGGTCAAATAATTTTATACCAAATGAAAGGTCATGTCATAGTGAATACACAAGAATGAAAGCCATAGCACCAACTATTCAAATGTTATGGTTAATGTTCAAAAATTTATGATTTAAGTGGGTCAAACCCCAAGCTCAAGGTCACAAGGTTTAATTTGGTGGTACCGAATCGAATGAAAGGTCTTATCACACCGAATACACCTGTGAAATGTGAAAGCCATAGCCACACCACTCAAAAGTTATTTATGGACAAAGTTTATGCAGACAAACAAACAGACAGATGGACAGGGCAAAAACTATATACCCCCGAATCTTCAAATACGGGACATTAAGATTAACTTGTATTGAGAAATTTGATATGAATACGGCAGATTTTTAGTATTTAGAGCTTTTACATGAAAATATTTCGTATAGGACTATAACAGTGGTCTTCATTATTTTCTAGGATTTGTTAAAAAATCTTCCATGCAGTTTCTGGTATGCTTTCCTTTCGCTTTCCCTTGTCCATTTAAAGTGTTTATAACTCGGTAATTGGCGCTCATGGAACCTAGATTATTTAAGTAGTTAAGTGTAAAAACTACGTGTCTATACAACGCATACGTGTGTGTAGTTGATCGATACGCATTGAAACTTATTACTGTAATGAAACTAAGCGACACTAAAAGCACCCTTTACAAATCATTGTGCTTTACTGGAAAACAAATACATAGAATTCACAAGAAATTGATAATTATCCTAATCTAATTAAGAAATAACTAAACATTGGCATTTTATTGACCGGTCGACAGGGGATGCTCACTCCTCCATGGCACCTGATCCCACCTCTGATATGTTTGAGGTATTTGTTTGCTCTGTTCGTATTTTATAGTTTTATGGACTTTTTATCTTGAATATTGTTCGTTATCTCCTGATCCAACCTCTGATATTTTAGGGGTCTGTGTTTGTTCTGCTCGTATTTTGTAGTTTTATGGACTTTTGTTCTTGAATACTGTTCGTTATCTCCATATGTTTCATGCAAACTTCTGCCAAATGAAACATAACGTATTTTTGTGGGTCACCCGCCAACAAATTTACATTCATCCATATAATACTCGAGTATCAAATGCCAAATTATCCCATGCTATTCAAATCCTAGGTTGTAATTTATTCTCTGTTGAACAGATTTTAGATTCCAATATATCAGTGGTGATTCAATGATCAATTCAATCTGAAACTGTTTTGAACATTTTTTTTCAAATTTGCGTGTCTTTTAAAAACTGGCTTTATGTACATGTATGACTTGTAGGCAGCAGAACTCAAACTGCGAGTGGTTTTGATTTCAACTTCGCTTATACCATTTTAAAAAATGTGGCCCAACTAATTCTAAAAGAGTGAAATTTTAATAAACCGGTCTGTTTATATTCAAATATGAAAAAAAAAACTTTTATTGAGCATTGTTGAAAAATGATACAGAGTCCAGGGCGAGGCTTAAGAGTTGAACTAAACAAAAAAATCATTAGATAAAATAGAGGATATCTATATTGTGTGATTTGAATTTGGATTTATCCAACGGGTTGAAATGGTGTATATATTCGCGAGGCTTGCTGAGCGAATATACACCATTTCAACCAGTTGGATAAAGCCAATATCAAATCACACAATTATAGATGTTCTATTTATCTCATACGACTTTCGAGAAGGAAAAGTAAGTTACCATTGAGCATGTTCAGTTGCTTATTTGTAAAAAGTTATCTTTTTTACGATAACATAGAAAATGAGAAAATATGTGCTCTAAACTACCTACTTTATCTAGAGAAGATAAACTTTATTACCGATGAAACAGAAGACAAAACAAGGAAAGGCAAATTTAAATTGAACAACATAAGTCCTATTCAATTGGTACTTATACATGCTTTCTAGCGAAATATATCCAAATAGTGCAAGTTTAAACAGATAAGGCATGTTTGTTACCTATCTCTCGCCTATAGGATGTACCCTGTTCACAGCAAGCATACAACCTGCATGTGTGGATAGACCCGGTGAAATTGAAACCCTTCATGAAATCACTAAAACACTTTGTTTTGTTGATTTTTTTTTTAGATTGAAATAAAAAGTTATAGAGATTTTATTGATTTCTGTTGGCTTTCATTGCAATATTTTATATCATTAAAAAGCATAAGGTTTGTAAAAATATAGAATTCAAGGGTTTTTACAAAATGAATTACTAGTTCTTGTTTTAAATATTTCTAAATGAAATAAAGTGAAATACTTTTAGTCCACAAGTATCCGAAATATTCAAATACAGACATAAAATATTAAAAGTAAGTCAGTGTGACCCACTTTTCAGTTGACATATTCCGAGAACCTTGGATGTATCAACTGACAAATTTTGATGAATTGATGCCAATAATTGTCTGAAATATTTACATATACATTGCAGCTATAAAATTTCAAAAACGGGTTAGAGTGACCAATTAGTGCCTAAATACTTCTAACATTTTAAAGTATGTCATGATTAGTCTTTTTGGTCGAAATATTTTGAAGCCTAAGGAGACATCAGCTGACAAAGATGGATGATTATAGGCTTTAGAGTGTCCAAAGTATGTCTAAAACAATTTGAAAATAAATGCACAGTAAATCAAAGTTCCAAAAAATTCACAAAGTTTTCACCATAGTAAATCAAAGTTCCAAAGTTTTTACTATAGTTAATCAAACCTATTTTTGTAAATCAAAGTTGTTTTCACCACAGTAAATCAAAGTTCCAAAGTTTTTACTATAGTAAATCAAAGTTCCAAAGTTTTTACCATAGTAAATCAAAGTTCCAAAGTTTTTACCACAGTTAATCAAATTTCCAAAGTTTACCATAGTAAATCAAAGTTCCAAAGTTTTTACTATAGTAAATTAAAGTTCCAAAAACAAAGTTTTACTATAGTAAATCAAAGTTCCAAAGTTTTCACCATAGTAAATCAAAGTTTCAATTTCGTTTTTACTGTAGTAAATCAAAGTTTCAAAGTTTTCACCATAGTTAATCAAAGTTCCAAAGTTTTCACCATAGTTTCCAAAGTTATAACTTTGGTACTATTCAATAGTAAACTATAGTTAACTATAGTAGGGTAAAACAATAATAAACGCAAAATTCACAAAGTACGTGATCGTAACCTATTTTTGAATTGTTTCAAGGTCCCAAGATGCATCAACTAACAAGATTTGATTCTAAACCTGTCATTAATTTATCTAAAACAATGATCTTAAAGGTTTTTCGAAATAATTAGTCATAAAACTGGAGAAGTAGGTCACCTAGTTGATACACTAAAAGACAAGATGCATAAACTGAAACAATTATGATCATGAGCTTCAAAATATCAAATACATGCATCAAACTTAAAATGAATACCTGTAAAGTTTTCAAAGTAGGTCATACAATTTAGTGACCTGCATTTGTGTCAATGTGATACGAGATCTATAGATACATAGCTAGACTGACAAGATTTTATGACCCTTGTCCTTCATGTAAACAATACTAAATTTTTTAACAAAACGTAATTTTTGTCAACTTTGAAGTGACCTTGAGAGTAGATAATGCATGTAGTGACCTTCATTTGTGTCAACATGACATGAGTTCTTAAAATGCATTAACTGACAAGATTTTATCCTGTCCAGTCAACCTTGAAGTGACGTTGAGAACAGGCCTTTCGCCTTGAATAACGTAGCAACATCTTCGTGTGTATTTTTGGTGATAATCTGCTCAGAGGTTTTAAGGAAGATTTTTTTTAAACCAGTAAATTGGTTTAATGTCCTAATTATCTCCTCTCTTGTAAGTTTTAGAAATTCTTTCAAGAAAAGTCTTATAGTCATATCACAAACACCACATATCCAAGATTTAGATAAGAAAATTATATACTGGTGTAATAAAATGGTACATGTACAGGTATGTCTTCAAGTTGTTGTTCAGGTTGGGGGTCGGTCAAAACTTTAAAATGGCAAACAGCGCTTGTTCCCGACTAGTACATTTTAAAGTTGATTATCATACTTATTTAAACCATCCTTTTCATTTTTTTTCACTTATACTTGAGTCAATTTTAAAGCATACCAAGATCTCTTTTTTTTTTTATACCACAAAGGTTAGTATTGAAGGCAAAAGGGTTATAAAAGAATCTACACATGTAATGAAAACATTCTGTCAATCAGTTCTCTAATTACAGGCTGGCGGTTGGGTGCGATGATGTGTAAAGCGACGCCTTTTATTCAACAAGTATCTGTTTGTGCATCAGTGAATACGTTGGCTCTCATTGCTGTAGACAGGTTTGTTATGCTGTTAGTAAATGAAAGTAAAGATGAAATAATTTATATGCATTCTAGTGGTTTCTTACAAATAACACGCATAAACATTTGGAAGTTGCAAACGAAAAATTACAGATAAAATTTCTTTTGTGTTGATTAATAACATTTACCCACTGATAACTCAAGTACACGAACTTGGTTTTAACTTTTTTGGGTTGCTGATGATAAATTTCAAGACACCATTTAACACTTGTTATGTTGAAAATGTCTTGCATATGTGACCTTTGAATATCCGGAAATTCGTGTTAAACGTCGTGATCATCTAATACAATGCCTCGGAAAAGTTTTATCATCACTTTAAAAAACTCATTCTTCCAATAACGATTGGTTTCCCGAAATTAATGTTCCATCTCTCCTTTTCATAACATTTTTATGGTAATAATGTAATTCTTTTTGTCCATTAAAGGAACCGTATGAAGGTTCTGTACCTGTCAGGCGAATAATTTGGTATGTAGTGATCTGTTTACATGGAATGATGTGAAATGTTTGGTAAATGTAGCCAATCCTAAAATGCATTTACAATATTAATTCGGATAAAATGAGGGGCACTTATCCTAAAATAAAAGTTCGATTAAGTGAAGGAATAATGTAATGATTAACGAGTGAATATGTTTGATTAAACACTCTTCCTATGCATTTTTGAAACTTTAGTCCTTGCAATGATATGCTAATTGCTATGTGGGTGTTTAAAAGATTTTTGTAATGGAGTAATGGGACAGTTACTTTAGTCCGAAATTCTTAAGTATTACAGTTTTTTTTAAAGGTTTTCATATATTACGTGACAGGAAAACGTCAGAAGTGGCGCCTTTACGAAAATTGGAAATTTCGCCGTTTCCAACGTTAGTACCAAAACTTAATCCGAGAATACTGCCTCTAGTTGAAGGCGTCGAATCGCCACGTTTCGTAATGGCGCCAGTCCAGACGTTCTCCTGGTACGTAATATCAAAACCTTAACAAAGCCTGGAAAGCGTCACATATTTCAGACTACAGCAACTTGACCAGGAAACCAACACACGCAGACGAATTAATGGAGAACTGAAAATAGTTACAGTATTCTACAAATTTCGATCACAAGGTGTTTAATATGCATGATGAATGAATTATCTCGTGGGGGAAAATAAACATATACATTCATATAGAAAATGTAATTCAAAAGTCAATTCAAGAAACCTTCACAAGAACAAGTCGAAAAACTGTCCAGTGACTAAAACATTAAGAGAGAGTTATGTATCCATAAAAGAACATATATCGTGCTGGCACAATGAGGGTCCTTCACAGCTCAATGGCCCTTAGTACCGAGTAAAGGTCAAAATTTGAAACCTTTCATCGATATATGGTGATATAAAAGTGAAACATTCTCGAATGGGACGTAAAGCAAAATACAATCAATCAATTTTCAGTCTGCGTGGATGTTCGTCTGATGAAATTTAAAAATGAGAAATTTGCTAACCCCTTACTTAAAACCAGTGAGTGTTTGTGAAGAATATGTAGTTACGTAGGTCAAGGTTTCTCTCTTCTTAATCTAATCCAAATCTGACTAGTACTTCCATTAAGATCTCTGAAAGGTAAAGAACTCGGATGACATGCCAATTTGTGTAGTAAAGGTCAACAAAATCATTTTTATGCCCCTGAATCGAAAAATCCCGGGGGTATATTGTTTTTGTCCTGTTTGTTTGTCTGTCTGTCTCTGTTGTCAACTTTAACCTAGCCCATAACTTTTGAGTGGGTGGGGCTATGGCTTTCATACTTCACAGGTGTATTCCTTGCGTCAAGACCTTTCCATGGGTACCACCTAATTTGACCTCTTGACATTGGACATATTTTTACAAAAAAATACCACACTTTAACCTTGGCCATAACTTTTGAACAGTTCAAGCTAGGGTTTTCATCCTTCACATTTGTATTCATTGTGACAAGACCTTTCAGCTAGTATAAATATTTTTTACCTTGACCTAAGAGTTTGGCGAACTTTTTAAAAACTTTAACCTTGGTCATAACTTTTAAACATTTAGAAATAGGGCTTTCATATTTAACTGGTGTATTTCTTGTAAGAAGACCTTCCTTTGGGTACAAACACATTTGACCTTGACCTTTGGAGTTTGACATGCAATACTTGATATTGCAATTACTTAACTCAGCGGAACTCTTTCACGATGGAGGTAAGAAATGTCTGTTGGATGGGGACTAATGTGCTACTGAATACAATGCAAGATCGATCATCGTAGAATTTATGAGGACAGATAAGTAAAAAATCCTGGTGAAATACCTTGCTAAACAATCGCTGAACCAGCCTAATTAATTTTTGAGAGGAGCTAATCCTAAATTGTTAATTTTTAACGATATTTTTTAATAAGCGGGCTCTTCTCATGAAATTTTCATTGAAAATCGTCACATTTTAAAGCTGATAAAATAATCTAAACTTTCCTTATTTAACAATCTACTATTTGGAGTTCAATTCTTGACAATACATTGTACTTTCGGCATAAAATTGTTCAAATCATTCAACTGTCACTATTGTAAACAATGCCATGTGCCCCAGTAATCTCCCGAGATTTGAGCTTTCTCGACTGCAAAAGAGCAGTAGTAAGTTAGATAACTGCGAGGTACTCGCGGTATTACGTATTGAAAGAATTCAACCCTTGCTATAAGCTGCCACATGAGGGCATCAGTGTAAACTGTGTTTCACAAACACATTTTGTTAAATTTTGGTTTTTTTCCCCGCTTTCACCTGCCTGCAGATCTGAAGGTCTCTGACCAGTCTAAAAAAATGCATGACCACAGAGCTACAATGCCACCTATAGAAAATTGTATATTAAGTGTGCATAAACAGTTCACCGATTCTCGATATCTTTTCACTTTATCTTGGAAAAAATATGTAACTGTTTGTAGCATATCCTTTCCTATTTCCGCAACAAAACTGCGTGTAAAATGATTGATTGATTTTATGTTGTTAAACGCCCCTCTCGAAAAATTTTCACTCATATAGAGACGCCATCACTTGCCGATGGAGAGCTGCAAATTTTGTCCTATACTTATGTACTACAACACTAAAATTAACTTTTTCACAAAATTATCGGGGGTTGAGGGGGGGGGGGGGCGTCAATTTTTCACAAATATATAAGATGCATAGCATCTTGCTTGGTAAGGTGGCATAACATGGATACCTAATTTGGGGTAGTTAAGTTTGTGATATAATCTATCCTATCATTTCAGAAAATTTGCTAAAACTAACATTTTACATAAAAAAAATTCTACCCCACTGTCTATATATAAATTAACAAGGTTGCCAACTTCGTCTGCAAACCGAGAGGCACTGCCGAGGAATATTGGTTGATTACCGGCCGCCAGGAGGCGGTCGGTTATTTGATATGAAAGTTTGAAGTTGTCGTGAGTTAAAAAAATATTTGACATTCATATAATAGAATATTAAAAAAAACAGAGTGTTTAAATGTTTAACAAAATATGCACAATAATCATAAAATTAAAATTTTGTAAATATGGGGTACACTTCAACAGTTGATGTATTTTTCTCTCCGAGGTACTAATTTTTTAAACTGATTTATTTTCTCACACAAGATCGCAGTTAGCGTTTTTCGCGACGCTCAGAATCAGAATCAGAAAATTTTATTTCGAGTCGGATTTTTATAAAACAGAAACATAAGCTCTGTAGAGCTTTTGACCGACATTATATTAGTACTACACTATCTACACATATAAAACAGTTAGAATTACATTGTCATGCATCACAACAAGCAATATTTACACATATACACACAAAACGACACAGAAAGCACATATATATCATGCATATAAATAAGACAACACAGAAAATAAATATAAATGAGTGTCCAAGTAGCACTTATGCTCTAAAAATATAGTCTATGAATTATATAGAGCTGCGCTCGCTAATATATTTTAAAATGCCGTGTATATATATACATTTCCGAAAGAAAATTTCCAAATGATTAAATGACAATTAATTATCAGACAGAATATTACGAGATTTTGCTCCAACAAACAAGGATAAAGTGTGTTTTACAGTATGCCAAGCCTTTTCACGCCACATCTCACACCAAAGAGAAATGTAGTGGCGGATCTAGAGGGAGTTGGGGGGGGGGGGGGGTTACATCCTTTGAGAACGAGCGAAGAGCCCCACATATTTCTTGCGTTTTTATTAAAGTAAAACTATATATCTCTATGGTTAAGATAACTTTAAAGGAGATGGGTGAACTTAATTAGCGTGCAGAAAGCCCACTAGCTTCATATAAAAATCATATTCAAATTGTGAATTTAGTATTTAGAGTAAAGTTTTCATCATTGATTTTTATGAAAATTTCAAATCATGAAAAACAAACAGCTTTTAGGAAATTTTTTCGTTAAAATTTATTCTTTTATTTAAAAAAAAATAATGTGGTATCCATCGGGTTTGAACAATGGAAATAAAAATCCCGCAATTCATTCTCTATTGAGACTAGCACGCTAACCACTACGCTACACAAGTCCTGATGAAGTGTGGCATTTAAATCATGTTTGTGATATGACCATTGATATACTTCAAGTATTTCTCGAAAAGATACGAAAGTTATGTCATAAAATTATATTTTAAAGGTATAGTGGATCTTTGCTCTATAATTTTGGAAACCTAAATATGTATGTTTGTATAAAAACTTTGAGGATTAACGTTCAAAAAAATGGAGCGAAGACCCACTCGTATCGAAAAATAGTGTTATAGTGTGAAAAAATGACTCGTTTTCTTCACTTTTGTGTGTGTATGATATTTCATAGGCAAATAACTTCAATCTTCACGAGCTTTGTGGAAGTTGTAGAGATTTTACATGAAGTATTATATAAATGGTGCCTGTTTTGGAGGGTAACAGTTGTAATTGACACCCCTCGGAAAACCATTGTCAACCGACGCGTCAGCGGAGGTTGACAATGGTTTTCCGAGGGGTGTCAATTTC